AATGGAAGCAGCAACAGTCACATTCAATGAAGCAGTACCACACCCATATTGTGGAATATATACAAAGAAATCACATATCTCACACTCTTTTGCAGAAAGTCCAGTACCCTACAACACCAATTTATTCATATTATGGTCAATAGGCCAATCGTTATCCTACCCTAACATTTGTTGTTCAGAACAAATGACATTCACAAACCATCAAGAAATCAGTAATATTTCCCACCCATAATAAAGAACAAGTAATTGATAACACCTCTAAGCAAAACTTCCAGAAATCGCTAATAGAGTTCTTATATAAGATATTTCGGTTGAGGAAAGAGCATCTCACATTTAGCATCAATGAACCACACCTCAATCCCAAACGAGATGGACGGGCTATATGAATCCTCACTAACCATTCTGCTCTATTAAGATACATTTCTACTTAAAAAAATATTTTTTCTTATAAAGAAAATTGAGATTAATGTCTCTAATCCGACTTAGCCTAACCGTAATAACAGATAAGTCCTAATTCCCAATTAGTTCATATGTATCTAATATGGATCATCTCAAAATTTAAAACAAAAAGAAGCCGAAACATATTATTATTCTAACCTCATTGCCCAGCAGGAAAGCAGTACTTCTCTTAAAAGGATGCTCATTTACTGCAACCGCGTTTTCTGTAATTTCAACTCCACATATATCACAATCTCTTTCCTGTTCAGTAAAATTCATAAGCAACCATAAATGATCAGCCTCAAGTAATTCTGTATATTACAAATCCAACACTTACAAAAGTAAGTAAAAGAATTTCGGTTTTGGAACTTTTGAATACCTTGAGGAAGGTTTGAGCATCAGCAAGGGAGTGGAAGTGGCGGAAACGGACGTGAGAAGTGGAGCCGTGGCTACCGAAAGCGTTGAAATCTCTACGGCCGACGAGTATCATCTCCGAGACGCCGAACGCGGTGGCGCTACGAGCTAAGGTTCCGACGTTGTGTCTCTTTGCTATGTTATGTACCAGCACGAAACTCTCTAGTTTCTTCTCATTTTCCATCTCTTCGCTATATTCCCGCCGGAAAAATACCACCCACTGAGCTGGTTACTGCCCGTCGCCGCCGTGCTCGGCTGAATGAAAAATCTTTGACGGCGGGGTTTGACCGGCAAGTGAATTGGGCCGACGGAGGTTTCTGGCCCAGTATATGTAATTATGTAGGACTATGGACGCTAACTTTTATTAAATTACATTAAGCATCCCCAAAGTTTCAAGTAGTAAGATTTTACCCTTATAGTTTTATAATACTCTGTTAAAGAATATCAGTAAACTTGGGGTTTTCACAACAATGGAACTCGAAATTTCTGCAACCAAAATGGATTCTGAAGCCTCCGATCGCACAAAACAAGCTCAATTTCCATCAAATTCAATGCAAGATTGGATCTTGACAATCCCTATTCTGCCACCAGTGCTCGTTACCGAAATCCTCTTGAGCTTCCGGTGAAATCCCTCTTGAAATTCAGGCCAGTTTCAAAATCTTGGCTTTATTTAATCTCTACCCTGAATTTATCAAGACCCATGTTAGTTTATCAGCTAATAACAAGGAAGACACCCACCATATGCTTATTTTTTGGGTCCTAAGGGTCGTAGGAGAGCTAAGTGGACTTTCAAAGAATATCTTCTGAGGTCTTTATTTTTTGGCTCGTGACTTTGATTATCCCTTTAAAAAGGTCGGTAAAAATGTCAGCACTTTGGGTTCTTGCAATGGATTGATTTTCCTTGCCCATAATACCCAATATTTGCTTTTATGGAATTCAACAACTAGAATGCACAAGAATTTGCTTGATATTGAACTTAGTTGGAAGTACAAACTTGCCATATATAGTTTTGGATATGATGAGCTCTGTGACGATTATAAGGTAGTGGGTATCTTTTATAATAACCATGTGGTTCAAATGACATTGAGATTAAAATATATAGTCTAAAAAGTGATTCCTGAAGTAGTGTTGACTATTATGGGGATATATTAAATACTTCATGCTCTTTTAGAAAAATAATGTCAAGTGGTTCAGGTTTGTCTGCAAATGGGAAGTTTCATTGGGATACTATTACAGTTGGTCCTTATTTCACTTTTGTGTGTATGGGCATTAGCTATTTTGATTTAGCTAATGAGAAATGGGAAACAATGGAGAAGCCCTCCTATGGAGTAGAAGAGTCTGATTTGTACATGTCTGGGAATGTTGGGAAGTGATCTTTGTGTCTTTATTGATTATAAGAGAACTGTTTGGGTTATGAATGAGTACGGGGTTAAAGAGTCTTGGATAAAGAAGTTTACCATACGTATTCAATTTATCAAGTTTTATATCCACCTTTTTTCATGTCAAATAAAGGTGAAATATTGGCGGTGTCGGGATCAATTTCCATAATATACAATTCAAAAGATGACACATTCAGATATCCATATGTTATTAACTGTGATGACTTTCATGGCGCGAAAATCTATGTTGACAGCCTAGTTTGTTCTTTTTTAACTGAAGTGACAAAGAAATCAACAAAAGAAATGCGGAAAAAGCTCATATCAAAACAACCAAGTAACAAATAATTTTTAAGAGTACTTTCTTCTCAAGTTCTTTCAAATTTTGTTTGTTATTTCAAATATAGAATAGACACGCATGCGAAGGATATGTTTAAATTATTTTTAATCTGGACTAGTTCTGGTGTTCTCCTTGCTGCTAATATCTAGATGTATATTTTCTTGTGCATATAGTTTGTTTGTTTTTTGGGATTATCACGGTGCCCCGGTCAACTTTCGTGCACCTCAACTAATTCCACTAGATACCTGTTACCTCTCGCCAACAGCTTGTACTAGGTAACTTTGTCTATCAAGGCTAGGACAGATGAGAAAGAACCACCTAGTGTTTGTGTTGTCTCTATTAGTATTTGAACCTAAGACCTCATGGTTCTCAACCCACTTCATTGATCACTAGGCCGCACCCTGTGCTATGTATATAGTGTTTATGGAGGTCAAGTTATTTCTTGAGTCAAAGTTATTATGTGCTCTTATGCACTGTTCTTCTGTTAGCTTTCCATAACCACATTCTTGCATTATAGAGAACCCAATGTGGCTAGGTTTGTCTACCGTTTGATATACTTATGGGGATTTCCCCAACACTAATACGATAATTTACCTTATTAAAGGAAACCATATTTCAGCATAATAAATAATCATGTCTATTCAGGAACTAATTGTAATGTATCATCAACCTAAATAATCTTCTTTTGTTTCTTACTAGTGAAATAGGCCGCGCTTCGCGTGATTATAAAAAATCTCATGTACCAGGTACCTGTGTCCATCAAGGCTAGGACAAATGAGAAGAAATCACTTAGTGTGTTTGTCTACTTTGTTGAGATTTGAACCTGAGGCCTTATGGTTCTCAACCCACTTCATTGATTTATTTAATCCTTTTCGTCTATAAATGTTGACGCCTCTTATCTCTATATGTCATGCTATCAACAACTATGTATTGTGATATTTTAGAATTTTGACCTAAGTCACTGATAGGAAAGATAGTTAATCGTTGTAGAATTTTTCTTATAGTTTGACAGACTTGCATTCACTTATACTTTGGTTCTATTTGTTGATTTGCATATGTTGTGAGCCATTCAATTGAGGAAGCAAGAGAGAGAAACAACCAAAGGGTTGGGGGGGGGGGGGGGGATTCGTGCTAGTTGTATCTCCCAGAGTTAGAGACGGTCATGGTTTCATGCTATGTAAATCACCTTACTGCTCCATTTTGGCAGCATAATATGATCATGTGATTGACAATGAGTGCCTGTTTTGGTAATTCATCATTGTGTCAAGGATCTACCGGGAACAACCTCTCTACCGCACACAAAGGTAGGGATAAGGTATGCTTACATCTTATCCTCCAGACACCACTTGCGAGATTACACTGATTATGTTGTGATTGGCTGGAGAATTGCTTGTGACTTTTCTTAACTTTAGTCTTTACATATGTTATAATAGAAAACATATACCACTTGAAGTTGTACCGTCTATTAGATAAGTCAACTTTTGCTTTAAATGGAAGTTAAGCACCTTTGTCATGTCATAAATGTAGTTGTTATTGATATAGAGCTTGTCTTTTTTGCTTAAACAAGGCAAGTAGACTACTAATGCTAATTTTGTTTGCCACATATTGGGAAATTTGTACACCATAGAGAATATTCTTGATCGGTGTTATCAAAAGCAAAAATCACAAAAAAGCTCTAAGGTTCATTGGTAAAGTGAATATCAATTGTTTAGTGATGTCTCATCGGAAGAGGTTCATTGGCAAGGAAAATTATGTCTTAGAACCTTGATGATGACACTAAAGTGCACATTAAGCGAGGCAAAGCGCTCAACACATTTTGAACCTCGCTTCAGGGCTTAAGCGCGCCTTTGATAACACTGGTCTTGATCAATTACAATCTGCGTGCATAGAAATACATTTAATATGCTATATTTAGTTCAATTCTTATAACAATCCCAGAATATTTTACTTCATCATTAAAAAACAATCCCAGAATGTTTTGTTTTTGACTTTTTTAGTCATATTAATGTCTTAAGATATACTCTCTTCATTAAATATTTACTTTATTTGTACCATCTCTCCATATTTGAGGTGTTTGTAGTTTCAAAGTAAATACTACTAAGAATAAAATATATAAAAAAAAATCTGGTCTTAAACTTTTAAAATGAAAAATAATTTGAGAAAACTATTTTAAGAAATCATAATGAATTATTTGAGATAGAGGGAATAGTATAGTTGAAAGCCGGAAAAAAACCTATAGGGACGGATGGGATTAGATATATAAAAATAAATAAGAAAAAACAATTGGATATCCAAAACTCTCCATATATTTGAAATTAAAAAAAAAACATTAGATCACAAAAATCTACCGCAATCTCATCCTACATTTCTAAGCAGGATATAAATGGTTGTTTTATTTTTTGAGACGAGTAACCCTTCAAAGTGAAACACAAATGGAATTTGAAGTCTCCGATGCTATTCAAGTTCCATCAAATTCAATGCAAGATTCGATCTTGACAATTCCTTTATTGCCACTAGAACTCATCACTGAAATTCTCTTGAGGCTTCCAGTGAAATCCCTCTTGAAATTCAGGTATGTTTCACAATCTTGGCTTGCTTTAATCTCTAATCCTGTATTTATCAAGACTGATCTTAGTTTATCTGCTAATAACAAGAATACGGAAGACACCCACCATGTAATTTTTTTGGATATTGGTGGAAAGAAATGGAATTACAAAGAATGTCCTCTTAAATCTTTATTTTATGACTCTGTTACCGTGGCTCTTGAATTGGATTTTTCCATTGAAAACGACAGGTATTGGCTCTATGTTAAGGGTTCTGGCAATGGATTGGTTTATCTTGCCCATGATGGTTTAGAATATTCCCTTTTATGGAATTCAACAACTAGAAAGCACAAGAATTTGCCACTTTTTAGACCTAGATTGAAAAAATATGAACGCGCATATGGTTTTGGATATAATGAGCTCCATGATGATTATAAGGTAGTGATTATTTCTTATAATTATATTGTTCGCGGTTCAGATGACATTGAGGTCAAAGCATATAGTCTAAAGAGTGATTCTTGGACTAGTGTTGATTATTGTGACGAGACATTCTCTAACAAAAAAAGTGTTGGTTATTGTGGGGATAGATTAATTTATGAAGGCTCTTTTGTGGATGGGAAGCTTCATTGGGGGATAGTTCTATTTCTGATCCTGATCCTAATATGGGTAAAGGTAGAAACATTATTGCTTTTGATTTAGCTAATGAGAAATGGGAAAAGGTGGAGAAGCCCTCCTACGGAGAAGGAGAGACTGAATTGCTTGTGGGAAAGTTGGGAAGTCATCTTTCTGTCTTTTGTGATTATAAAACAACTCATTTAGGTGCTTGGGTTATGAAGGAGTATGGAGTGAAAGAATGTTGGATAAAGATGTTTACCATCAGGTATCCAAATGATCCCGAATGGTATCCAACCTTTTTCATGTCAAATAAAGGTGAAATATTGTCGGTTTAGAGCAACTTCCATGATATACAATTTAAATGATGACTCATTCAGATATTCAGATGTTACTAACTGTCATGACGGTTGATATGCACAATTCTACCTTGAAAGCCTAGTTTGCCCTTTTTCAACCCAAGGGACAGAGGACGCCAAAAAGTTGCTCGTATCAAAACAATCGAGTGACAAATAACTTGTAAGCAGTGCCGTCTTAACCCCTAGGCCACTAAAGCAATCGCTTGGGGCCCCATATTTTTGGGGGCCCATTTTTAAAAAAAAAATTACTTATGAATGTTATTTTAAAAAAAAATTATATGTACTATGAGTGCTATGATTTCTACTAAGGAAATTGCATATGAAATGAATATAGAACCCGAATTTTGTAAGAAACAATTTGATAAAAATATTGATAACGAAATCACAAAATCCCTTGAAACTAGAGTTGATTAGTTTATATATATATAGTAGATCAATCTATTTTTTTTCACTTCAAAATAGATTTGAACCAATTGAAGCATATGAAAATATTTTTTGTTTCTTATTTAGTTTGTAAATTGATATTACTAGATGATGAGAATTTTAAAAACACTGTCTTAACCTTGAACTTTAACACATACTCCCTCCGTTTAAAAAAGAGTGACATGATTTGACTTGGCACGAAGTTTTAGAAAATAAAGAAGACTTTTGAATCTTGTGGTCCTAAATTAAAATTATGTCAAATGTACTAAATTGTCCTTCAATCTTGTGGCTTAAACATGTCACGTGGAAAACTGAAATTAAAATGTTACCAAAAAGGAAAGAGGTCATTCTTTTCTTAAAAGACTAAAAAGGAAAGGAGGTCATTCTTTTTTAAACGGATGGAGTAATAGTTATTCTGCTATTGATGGTTTAGATTTATTTTTTGAATTGAAAGTGTTAAGAGAAATAATATATGTAGAAGATAATGATCTAACGAAAATACACAATCAAATAAAAGACTTGATTCTTTTCCAAATACACATATTGCTTATGGAATAATGTTAACAGTTTCTCTAACCGTTACCTCAGTCGAAAAAAGTTTTTCAAAACTAAAATTGATTAAATCTTATTTAAGATCAACGATGTCTCAAGAGAGATCGAATGAATTAGCTATATTATCAATTGAAAAGCAATTATTAAAGCAAATCGATTATAAAACAGTAACTAATGATTTCGCATCTAAAAAAACTAAAAAAATAGATTTTAAATAAAAGTATATATGATGAAAAAATAAAATATTAGGGCCCCTCCCTCAAATTTTGCTTCAGGCCCCCAATCTTATTGAGTCGGCCCTGCTTGTAAGAGTACTTTCTTCTCAAGTGCTTTCAAATTCTGTTTGTTATTTCAAATATTAAACAAGACACACATGTGAAGGATCTCTTTAAACTATATTGCTTCTGGATTAGTTTTGGTTGTCTCCTTGTAAGAGTACTTTCTTCTCAGTGCTCAATCCGTAAAATTTAATAATTTTCAATATTTATTTGAATTGAATCTAAACTTTAATGAAGTGATAAAGAAAGCCTATGTAAAATTTCGTAAGTTTATGAATTTAATTTGGGCTATGTTCTGTTTTAGAAAAATTGTTATTGAGGTAAATTTGAGGTGTCTAGGATCCGTACGACAATGTAGAGATGATTAGAAGCAGGGTTGTTTATTGGATAGATTAGATGGATAATTATGTTTAACGATTTAATATACTGGATATCAATTTTAAAATGTATTAATCAATTAGCGAACCAATAAGAACCGGTTGGTATGATATCAAATTAGCAATTATCAAGTGATGTATAGACTAATTATAACACCAACTTGCATCTTAAATACTATTGTTGTATTATTCTTTTTCTTCAATTAAAATCACAAGAAGAAAATACCTAGCATTGCTTTAATTAACTCATGTCTCTTTTTATTTTCCATTAAATATAGACTAAATTTTAGGAATAGCAAATATAAAATTATATTAGCGCTCTATATCTACAGGTTTGTTGTTTGCGTACCATAGCAAACAAAGCATTTAATTTGTATAAATCACATCGATTTGTATAAATCGCTTGTGTCTATGAAAATTGTGTTTGTATATGCATATGTTCTTTGTGTTAGGCAAGAGAGATGAGCGAGATTAGGAGAGAGAAGAGAGAGGCGAGCGAGAGAGGGAAGATAGTGGAGATAGGCGAATTGTATATGTATATTGGTTAGATAATTTTATATATGTAATTACTATGCATATGTATCAATTGTATTTGTATATCTGCGTAAAATTTGAATTTATATACAATTGAATCAAGTTAAAACATTTGTATTTGTATATCAAATCTCTCTCTCTTTAAACAAACACAAATTGTACATTGTATTTGTATAATTTGTGTTTGTATAAAGCGAGAGAGAAAGGCAAAAGAGAATCGGACAGGGGAAGATTTATATTCGTATAATTATAAGTGTATAGGACGGAGAAATATGTATTTGTATATACAATCTCTCTCGCTTTATACAAACACAAACACAATTTATACACATTTGTGTTTGTATAAAAGTGAGAGAGGCGAGAAAGAGAATTGAGAGTGTCGAGTGAGATTTAGGTGAGAGAGGCGAGAATGACAATGTGTTTGCTACAAATTAGAATTAAATGACAATATAGCTATGGCATTTATTTTGAATTAATAATTTACTATAATGCACAATTTTCCCTTAAAACATATCATGAGATTTGTCTCCAACAAGAACAAACCAAATCTATATGCAACATTAACAAGAAAAAAAAATTAGAACCCGGAGGGGGTATAAACTAATAAATATATTGGAAAAATATAAATATGATAATTCTTGTGGTTTATCCGATAAGAAAACTGAGTAATTCATCATCACATCGATAAATCGTCAATTATAAAATTTTAATTTGTTAATCCAATATCCCTATATCAATAAGTTCATAAGATAAATTTGTGATTGAATTATCGGTTATGACTCGATTTTGAATATTTCATATTGAACATGTAACGTAAGAATTTGGTGCAATATGAGAGTGGTTGGAAGTGAAAAAATAGTCAAAACTTGAATCTCCAAAAATGTTGGTTAAAACTGTAAAACAATGGGTTAAGGCCCCTATGCACGTCCCTCGTGAGTTTTGAATTTTTCATTGATGATAAATACAAAGCACTGGACCCCATAATACACGTCCAGCGTGAGGTCTTTTGGACAATAAAAATATATGTTGTGCGATCAATGTGAGGTCTTTTGGACAACAAACATGTGTGTTGTGCGATCAATGTGAGGTTTGTTTCGCTATAAATAGTTCCTAAGTGGAGAGAAAGGAAATAAAAGAGAGTAGGAAAGAAGAAGCTTTTGTAGTTAAATATTCAATTCAATGTATTTTGATATTTATCCGTTTTCAAGGAAGATAGTGATGATATGAGAGATTAGGAGAAAGCTGGTTTGCTAAAAAGTTTATAATTGTCGACTTCTTTCAATAAAATAATTTTTTTGCATGTATGTGTCTTCAATTGATAAGAATGACAATTATAAGTTTTCTAGAAGCCCAACTTTCACCAAATCTCTCAAGTCAACAATAAAAGTTTCTTGATAGAACTTTTGTCAAGAATTAGAATTACACTCTTTTACACATAAATTTACTTAATATGGACTAAAGGGAGTATTAATTACGTTCAATTATATTTTCTACTTTTTGAGTTGATTTATTTTCTTTTTACAAAAATCACTTTTTTTATATCTTTCTTTAACATCTCACATTAAAATTCAAAAGTCTCACCCACTTCATAAAACTTTGTACTCAAGATATATAAATAAAATGAAAAGCTTGTATTTATCCATGTTCATAGTTACTACTCTATTCGTTCTAATTTATTTGTTTTCTTTTCCTTTTTAATTCATTTTGAAAAGAAGGTTTCTTTTCATTTTTTGATAATTTTTTAACTAATTTTTCACATGACATATTTAAAAGATTAATAAACATTTTGATATATTTTTAATTTAAAATGCCCAGTTAAATTTTTTTTGCTTAAATTTTATATAAATCAAAATCAGAGAAATAAATTAAAAAGAAGCACTGCTTAATTTATTTTTAGTTAGAGGTGTATTTTATTTTACCTAATTTTATTAATGATATTTTGAAATTATAAATTTGACTAGTATTAACAGTTAGTTAATATTGAGGATAGCATAGAAAAAAAAGTTAAAATCCTCTTGATTGTTATAATAGACGCATAAAGTTTAATATATTAGTTTTGTGGAGCTTATTTTACAAAAAAAATCTTAATTAAACTTTGTTTATAATCTTTGTTTGTTGGGTATTAATCATTCCCTCTTCTTCCGACAAATTCTTTAATTTTTATGTTTTTCTGTAGTTTTTTATCGCGATTGTTGATGCAGAATTTTTTTCATTCGAGTGTTGTTTAATTTTTGATAGTTTTCTTTTTTTTTAAAATTGTGTTGTTCTATATATTGAAAATGTATAATCTTTTATCTTTTTCATATTTAAATATATAATGTTATTTTTCTCATATTTGATTGGGTTGCTGGGTTTTTGTATTTCCCACTTCTAGTGTTGGATGTTTGTGATTTCTCTATTGATGGTGCATGCAACGGAGTTGATGTTTTATGTTTTTCTCTCGCTTTGTCTACTTGTGCCCTATCCCTTTAAAAGTTTATTGACCCTGACACGAGTGCTGCAATAAAAAAAGATGAATTTTCATATTGTAGGTGTTTTGTGGTAATAAAAACTTCTCCCCTCAAGTTCGCAGGTTAGCTTCATGTTCCTTATAAATTAAAAAGACTCAATTGGATATGATAGGTAATTTACATGTTCTATGGTGATGTTTAATAAAAGTAAATTCTCTCTTCTTTCGGACATAATTACCACCCCAATAAATATTGTCACCCGGATAATATTAAATGACAGTAACTTAAATTATCTTATATTTCAGAGGGATATATGAATTTTGGTATAGTTGGTAACATCTTTTGAGTGATCTGTTGATTTATTG